CGGCGTCGACCTGGCCTCCGAGGCGGACGCGGCGCGCGCAGCAGGCACGGCAGCGGAGGCGACGGAGCCCCTGCCCGCTCACCAGCAGCACGAGGCGTGCGGCCACGCCCAGCCCAGGCGCACGCCGCTCCGCGCAGAGCAGGTACCCAGGCGCACGCCCCTCCGCAGCCACGCCCTGCCCCACGTGCCCGGCGTGGGCGCGGCTGCCGAGCCCGCCCCCGCGCGCGTCGTCCGCGCCGTGGTCCGCAGAGGGAGGCGACAGGGCGGCGAAGGGTCCAGCTGGAGGCAGATGGCTCGGTCTGTACGACGTCGTGCGGAGTCGCTGGCCCGTTCCGGGATTTCATCGCCCTGGAGTGGGACGCAGGCCAATCCCTGGTCGAGAGGGGCCACCGCGCTCGGAGAAGAACAAGCCGCCATGAGCATAAACTGTTGGCGCTCCGCGCGGACTCCGTGGATCTGCGCTGGCCCCCCCCCGCCCCCCTCCCTGGCGCGCGGAGTGCGCCAGGGGCCCAGGCGCGGACCCAAGAAATCCGCGCGGAGCGCCAAAAGTTTAGGTGCATGGCGTTTTCTCTTCTTCTTCATCTCCTCCTTCTTCTTCTTCTTCTTCTTCGACGCGTGGAGAAGGTGCCCTTCCCGAGGGCGCCGCGCACCCTCCACACCAGCCCGCCCCGCGCGAAGAAGACGCGGCCGCCCGCGGAAGAACCTCTTCGTCCCCGCAGCGGGCAGCGGGAGGCCGCGGGAGATGACCCGCAATACACGGTGCACTGCAGCGAGCTCGCAGCCTTCTGCAGTGGAGGCCAGTCCACAAGAAACCTTCCACAAGAAACCGAAGCCTGAGACCCCAGGACGCCCATTGACTCTTGGTGCGGGAACGTCACGCAGCCCATAGCAGAGCCATACCGAAGCCCAAGAAACCCAGGGCACCCTGGAGGCATGCAGGGTGTTTCTTGGCAGGGGCCTCCACTGCACGTGAGGAGCGCAACTTGTCTGCGCGCTCGAGCCACACCCCGGTGCGCCCGGCTTCTCGGTTCTCCATGCTCCTCCTCCTCCTCCTCCTCCTCCTCCTCCTCCTCCTCCTCCTCCTCCTCCTTCTGCCTGGGCTGTGCACGGGTCCCCAAACGCCCCCAAACGCCGAGGTGTGCCCAGCTGGGCTGTGGCACATGTGCATCGGCGGCCCCACTGCCCATAAAGCCTCGCTCGCCCGTGCGGGACTCGGTTCGGACAGAAACATCACCGACGGCCACTACACCAAGCTCTTCGTGCACCGAGTTCTGGCGAGTATTCGGTACTGGGGTGTCGCTCCCAAGCTCCGGAACTTCAGCCAAGGATTCGCCATACCAAAAGCTGCGGTCGCGGGTCCGAGGGGAAAACGAGTCGTGCACGGGCTTGATCCCGTGAGCAAAGGTTTCTACGCGGGGATTTTGAAGGTGGGGCCCAAGTTCCAGAACTCCCATTGCGATCACGGCTGTCTTCGACACCGTAGGCGTGAAGATGCGATCGCCGCGTGCATGATTACAGGCTGAAGGCTCAATCGCATCGGAGTACAATGGTGCGATGCCTTGAAAGACCTGTCCAAAGCATTTGCGTCGCCCAAATGGTCAGCATTGGATATGGCCTGCAATACCCTTGCCCAACCTGCTGATCGTACCCTGTGTCAGCAAAGGCATCGCACCGCTGGGTGCATGCTTCCCTCGCGCGAGGGCTCGCTCATGATCAAGCCTGGCTGCGGTACGCTTCAGGGCGACCCGTATGCAGTGGCCAGCTTCGTGCGTGTCTTTAAGCAGCCGAACGACCGATGGATCGAGCGATGCCAGGCAGACGATCCTGGAGAGAAGCTACTGTGGGCCTCGCTCCCCGCCGAGCTCGGTCTACCGACGGAGTCTATTTACCTTGGACTGCAGAAGTTCGCGGGTGACTTGCTGAAAAAGATTGTGATTGGACCCCCAGACTGTGCTTCTCGGCTTGGTCTGAAGTTAGATCAAAACGACCGCATACTGGATGAGGAGCTTCTGAGTATAGGGGTTCGTCGTAATCAGAAGAAGCAGGAGGCGATCGTGTGGGTACCCCCCAGCTATCGGCGAGGTGCAGCTGCGGTTTTCCGCTCCAGCGGGACGAAGATCGGGGACGCGGTGCGGCACCTTGGTTCTCACACCACCCCGACCCAGAGCTTCGGCCCAGAACTTGTTCGACGTGTCGCTGCTATGAAGTTGTCTTTCTTCCGATTGGGCAATCTCTGGTTCCAGGAGGGCGTCCCTGTTCGGTGTCCTCCTCCTCCTCCTCCTCCTCCTCCTCCTCCGCATCCTCCTTCTCCTCGGAAGAGGTGTGTCTTGCTGTGCCAAGTTGTTAATGCTGCCCTGTCGGGCGTCGAGGCATTCCTCCTGTGAGCCCTCGGCAGACCAAGACCTTACAGCACGCTCTTGCTGCTCCAGCTCGGTAAGGCTATGCGAGGTGAGGCCGGTGGGGTTGATGAACGGGGCCGTCGTCGCTCACTTACGTCGTTGCCAGCCCTGGCACGGTGAAGACTGGTACTGGTGCCTGCTGAACTTCAGGTGCGTCGCCTTCGCTGGTTGCGGGCTTGTCTTGAACGCCCCCATGCACACCTTCGATACCTTGCTACGCTTCTTGGGCACATGAATGGGGAGGGGGTGTTTACGGAACAAGGCACGATACACCCAGAGGCGAACCCGTGGGCACGCGGGCTCCAGGACGACATCCTCACGTCAACTCAATGGAGTACCGACGCTGCTGAAGTTTGGGCTCGGGCGGGGGGATCGGTGGCTAAGCTGTTTGAAGGTGAACACGCACGTGATTTCACTGAAGTCGCTGTTGGTGTTTTACGAAGTGCTGTGCATACTGTTGAGGCCCCCCCTCTGGGAGTTTTGAAGATTTCGAGGCTCTCGAGGTGGCCGCTCTGCACCCATGTTTATGGCCCTCTTGCACGCCGTCGTTTACTTCCCGTAACCATGTAAGATGTATCCATGGGACGGTCAAGCTCTCTCAGGCCCTCACTAAGACCAATCAGTGCACCGCGTGCCTGGAGACGTTCTGGGGCAGGAAAACGGCGCAAAAACAGTTACATGACTTCACGGATTGAGGGCAACCCGTTTTCAAAATGTGGTTCTCGCCTTAGCGCCGCGCGCATTCGTTTAGATATTTGCCAGAGTTGCACGGATGAAGGACGACCCAATCCCACCAGCCCTTTGGGCGTGAGTGGTTTAGCGAGCCCCCTCTGTCCTCAACCCCCCTTCTTCCCCTTCGGGGAGGGGTTTACTCCTCCCCCTACCCCCTCCCCCTGGGCCTGGAGAGGGCGCCCCGCGGATCGTCAGGGGGGTCAACTTCGACTCCTGGGAGGGCAAAAAAACGACGACCCTCACGAGGATTCTGGCCCCGACGGGGGGCCGGAGAAACAACCCTCTCCTCTTCTGTGAAGCCAAAAACATTGATTTTACCAGGGTTTTGGCCCCATTTTGGCCTTCTGAGGGGGCAGCGCTCATCGTCCTTCATAGCAAAATCATTGATTTTACGAAGGTTCTGGCTTCATTTTGTCCTTTTCAGAAGGCAGCGCTCATTTGCACTTCTGAGGAGGTCGCAAGAGGCCCCAAGATGGCTCCAAGAGGCCCCCAGGAGCCTCCCAAGAGGCCTCCAAGAGGCCCCCAAGAGGCCCCCAAGAGGCCCCACGAGGCCCCACGAGGCCCCCAAGAGGCTCCCACGAGGCCCCCAAGAGGCCCCCAAGAGGCCCCAAGACGCCCCAAGAGGCCCCCAAGAGGCCCCACGAGGAGCCCGAACGACTCACACCAGGACGAGGGGCCCGAACGACTCACACCACGAAGAGCCCGAACGACTCACACCACAAGGAGGGGCCCGAACGACGACTCACACCAGGACCCGAACGACTCACACCAGGACGAGGCGCCCGAACGACTCACACCACGAGGAGCCCGAACGACTCACACCACGACGCGGGCCCCGAACGACTCACACCACGAGGAGCCCGAACGAGTCACACCAGGAGGAGGGGCCCGAACGACTCACACCAGGACGAGGGGCCCGAACAACTCACACCACGAGAAGCCCGAACGACTCACACCAGGACGAAGAGCCCGAACGACTCACACCACGAAGAGCCCGAACGACTCACACCAGGAAGAAGGGCCCGAACGACTCACACCAGGACGAGAAACCCCAAACGACTCAAATCACGAGGAGCGCTTTCTCTCCCTCCTCCTCCGCCTCGTCCTTCTCCCGCTCCCCCCACAAGGAGGATGTACAAGGAGGCGGGAGGAAGGAGGAACAGGGGAGATATGCGGGGCCAAGCGGACACACGCCTGAAAAACACGACTGTCGGCATGCTTCGCAAGAGTTGCTGCTGTGAGATGGGCTGGTGGGGATACGCGAAGCGTAAAGAAATTCAAAATGCGGTTCTCGCCTTAGCGCCGCGCGCATTCTTTTTTAAACATTTGCAAGAGTTGCACGGATTGAAGGCGAACCGTTTTCAAAATGTGGCTCTCGCCTTCGCGTCGCGCACATGTGTTGTAAACAATACAAAAATTGCACCGATTGAGGGCGGTTCCTTTTCGAAATGTGGCTCTCGCCTTAGCGCTGCGCACATTCGTGAAACATTGCAAGAGTTTCACGGATTCCCATGACCAACGTACCAGAAATTATGAGGGTGCAAGAGCTACATTGATTCGCGGCGTTGAAGTCTCAGGCATGGCGTTCTGGCACAATTCCGGATCGTCAGGACGCAACAATCAAATTGATCCGTGGCGTTCGATTCCCGAGAACAATGTTTTGGCATGCTTCAGGGTCTTCGAACAGTTGTCTTCCAACAAGGCAGTTCCCTCCGTGTCAATGAACAGTTTTAGGGGCTTCTGAAGAGGGAGCTTGGAGGGAGGGTTTATTCCAATATCGTTGCTGACTCTTGGGTTTACACTGGTCCTCCTCCTCCTCCTCCTCCTCCTCCTCCTCCTCCTCCTGATCAACCTCCCCTTGCCCGTCACCCTCAAGGGAATCGTCATCGGGACCCGCTCGGTCATCTCCAAGCCAGGGGGGGGGGCTGCCAGTGCCCCGCGCGGGCCGCGGTGTGGTCGCATGGCTAGCTCGGCCGCTCCCCGCCGGTCGGGCACGACCGGCTCGGGCGAAGATTGCACACTTGTGCCTGGTCGGCCCAAAGAGTTGAGCCTAAGCGGCGGCGGGACACCAAAGAACGACGATCTACAAGCAAAACCTGAACGCTCGAGGAGCGCGCGGGTGGGCACATCGACACGCGCGCGTCAGCGCGCACACGCACGCATGCTCGCGCGCGCACGCACACTTCTACTCGAGCGCGGCGGTGTGGGTCGTAATGACCAGGCGCATGGTAACGGGGCGCGTTTGGCTTGGGTTGGCCGGTCAGCAAGCGCACACACATACACTTTTTCCGACACGCCAGTGGGTGCAGCCAGTGGTGAACAGTCAAGCAGGGACGCAGTCCAGACAATAGATCCACCATTGTGGACACGAGCAGGAAACAGCGACTCCCAACGAGTGCCAGACGGACGCAGGTGCCACAAGATAGGAGCAAGGAAGCCACGCAGGGGAGGAGAGGGGCGGAGAGAAGATGGCCACAGGCAGGCCAGTGGGCTCCACAGAAGGACCTGGCTGGCAGACCTGATAAAGCAAAGCCGTGCGCAAAAACAAAGAAGGGAACGAAGCCAAGCAGGAAGACTGGCGAGCACAAAATTCGACGGGAACGAAACAACGAGGAAGGAGGGAGGAGGGCAGAAAGAGAAGGACAGGTGGCAAGAAGCCCACACTACCACTAGCATGAGCAGCACATGTTGTTGGCCGTCCCACTGCTGTCTTCTTTACCTTTCGAAATTGAGGGGCAAGTTTGGCAATACGGTCTGTTTGTCCGAGAGCTTGTTCTCGTCACTGCTACCATTCCAGCGATATGCTTGCCAATTTGGCAAGACGGTCTGTTTAGTACATTTCCGAGAGCTTACTCTTGTCGCTGCCTTTATTTCACTGCTCTGATTGCTGAGGTGTGCAGCGTTGAATAAGAATACAACCCTTACGTCTGATAAGTGCGCTGATTACTAAGCTCTGTCACTCTCTGGGCTATGAGGTCCAATCGGTGATGGCAAGCATGCACGCCCCCCAGCTAGAAGCCAGAAGCCAAAGGCCTGCAGCACGCATTCCGACATTGAATCATAATTATCATCTTCTGAATCTCTCCTCGTCACTCGCCACACACGCACACGCACACGCACACGCACACGCACACACACACACACCACACACACACACACATACACACACCGACCGACACACCCACCCACCGACCGACACACCCACCCACCCACAGACACACACACACACACACACACACGCACCCACAGCCACACCCACCCACACACACACACACCCACCCACACCCACCCACGCACACACACACACACACAGCCACACACACCCACACGCACACGCACACGCACACGCACACGCACACGCACGCACGCACACACACAGTACCCATTTGGCTCAACCCTGTGTCGCTGGGCGCGCCGCCTTCGGCTGTGCCCGCCGCGCGGTCATGCGGGGGACGCTCACGCCGGAGCGTCGGCGTGCTGAGGAGGCGGCGCGTGGCGCCCTCCTCGCCGCCCACGCCGCCTCGGGCCTCGCCGCAGGCCACTCCCGGGAGGGGGTGCGCCTCTTGCGCGCAGCCGAGGGCCTCCTGCGCGCCTCGGCGGCTGCCCTCGGCGGCCGCCCCGCGCCGCGTGCCCCGCGTGCGCCTGGCGCGGCTGCCCCCCCGAGGCGGCGGCGGCGGCGAGGGCGCAGCCGCGGTGGCGCCGCGGCGGACGTCCGCAGGGACGTTGAGAAGCCCTGCGGCCAGCCTGCGGGTGCCCCGCTGCTGGAGCCTGCCCTCCAGGCTCCGCGGCGGCGGCGCCGAGCGCGGCCTCGCCGCGTGGGCGTGGCGGCGGAGGCGCGAGATCGTGATGGAGTCGATGGCGCAGGCGCTGTCGTAGCAGCTGGGGCGGGCGGGGCGGGCCCCGATGCTGGCGCCGCTGCGGCGCGCGGCGGCCTCGCCGACGGCTCCGAGGCGGCGGAGGCGGCCATAGACGGCGGCGGCGATGCAACCAGAGGTGCAGACTTGGGCCTCGTGCTCGTGCAGGCGCCTGCGGATGCGGCCGCAGCCGACGAGGACGACAAGATGAGCGACCTGAATGATGAGTGGGCCGACGCGCCCCCCGCTCGGCTCGCCAGGCCGCCTCCGCAACCGCTGAGCACAGTGCCAGTGGTTCCAGCGCTGGCCGAGCCGCTGGCGATGCCCGAGGCACGCGAGGTCATGCTGATGCTGCTCCGTGATCGGTCGTCGGACCTGGCTGCCGACGAGGCGCGCTGGGCCCTCCTGGACGACGCCAGCCTTGTGCGCGTCCTGTTCCAGGCGCTGGGGCTGCAGCGGCCCGCCGAGTCGGCGCGAGGCCCTTGGGGCCAAGTCGGCGTGAGGCGCCCCTACGGGGAGAGCTCCTAAGGGGGAGCACGCGTCCTGCCCGACGAGGCACTCGCGGAAGGCGGGGCTCGCTCAGGCGGAGAGCTCCTAAAGGGGAGCACGCGGAGGCAGCACTCGCAGACGGCGGGGTTCGCGGCGGGCAGACGCTCGTGGCGGTCGTCTTCGGCGGGCTCTTCTTCAAGCCCCTTTGAGCTGGAACACGCTACGGTCGGTTGCCCTCGCGCGGCTGGACGTGCGCCCTCGACGGCCCGACACATGAACACATCCACACCCACACACCCACACGCCCACACACCCACACACCCACACACCCACACACTCACACACCCACACACACCCACACACACCCACACCCACCACACAAACCCACACCCACACACAAACACAAACACAAGCACAAGCACAAGCACAAACAACCACAACCACAAACACAAACGTAAACACAAACACACGCACACACACACACACACACACACACGCACACACACACGCCAAGCGGCGTGTACTGTGTCGTGCTGTGGTGTGTCATGATGTGCTGTGTTGTGCTGTGATGTGCGGCGACACACACACACACACGCGGCCGTGCTGCGCTGTGCTGCGCTGCGCTGTGCTTCGCTGTGATGTGTAGCGGCATGGCATCCGGAGCCACCGGCTTCTTGCCGGGCGCGCCGGCCCCAGCCCCAAAGTAGTCGTTGTCGTCGTCCTCTTCCCTCCCCTCCCCCTCCCCCTTCCTCCGCCTCCTGCCTGGCCTTCTGCCTCCTCGCCCTCGGCCTCCTCTCCGCTTCTCTTCTCTGCCCTTGCTTCATGCTCTCTTCGTGGCCCCCCTTGCCCTCCTCCCCTTTAACACACGCGCGCACGCGTGGCTCAAACACGCTCTCTCACCCACCCGCGTTCCCACATGCTACCGTGAGCCTTGTGCGACATCGGACGGTGCAGGCGCGCCCCATCACGCCACCTGGAACCGACTGACACCCACCCTCGCCGACAGCGCGTACACATGCAGCGCTTGGCCTGCAGCACCGTGGTTATCTTGCGTCGCGTGTGTTTGTGCAAAGGCTGGGTCCACCAGTGCGGGGATGGGGCGACTCCTGGCGGTTGGGATTCCAAGAGCAACGTGCGGGGTGTGTATTTTGGTGTTGGGTGGCTGCACTGCGGACGGTGCCCCACACACGTACTTTCCCCTCACCCACCGCTGCCTGCATTGTTTGCCTTGGCGCGCGGCTTGGGCTGAGAAGGTGAGAAAATACGGCGTCCCGCATTAGGCGGGGGAACGAACGAGCACGCACACACATACACACACAACACACAACACACAACACACACCACACACCACACACCACACACCACACAACACACAACACACAACACACAACACACAACACACAACACAACGCACAACACACATCACACAACACACAACACACAGCACAACACCCATAGCACACAACACACACATGCTTCCTCCAGCGCGGCGCTGGGCTGCAAGGCAATCACCGGCTGCGTAAAGCCAAACAGGGGTGCTGCCAAGGCACTCGCACTCGCACGCGCGCACACGCACACACGCACACACCTTCTGCGTCGGCGGCTATGCAGAGGGTGACTGCGCTGGCGATGCATGGCATGAGCGGGGGTACCATTGGTCCGAATTGTACCACCATGCAGGAGGGAGGAGGGACGCGGCCGAAGGAAAACAAGGAACGGGCGGGCGGCTCAGGGGTCAGAACGCTCCCCGAGCGTGCGGCGAAGCCGGCCCCGCCGCTCGGCACGCGGCGGCACACACGCACACACGGTTTCCCGTGAGGCGCGGACCTGGTACTGGGCCAAAGGCCACGATAACGGCGATGCTGCTTAACGGTGATGTTGGAAACCAGCCTGTGGGAAATCACGAACCACACTCTCCTACAGTCCAAATAAGTACGCGACTGTATCAAACCAAAACGACACAGCGAACTGTAGGAAATGACGAGCCGCGCGTTCCCACAATACGGAAGCCTACATCGCGGTTACCTGCATCGCCGTTAGCGTGTCTACCGTGGGCACAGCGCCAAGTCGGTGGGCAGCCGCGGCTTCGACGATGAGGACTGCGCGAGCTAGGCAGCCATTGCCGATCGACGCCCAAGAAGGCGAGGCCGGCGCAGAGCAACAGAACCACACATGCGCGACAGGGCGCCGGGACGAAGCTCTGCGTTCCCGTAGCCTCCTCCCGCTCCTCCTCTTCCTCCTCCTCCTCCTCCTCCTCCTCCTCCTCCTCCTCCTCCTCCTCCTCCCCCTCCTCCTCTTCCTCCTCTTCCTCCCCCTCCTCCTCGTCCTCCTCCCCCTCCTCCTCCTCCTCCTCCTCCTCCTCCTCCTCCTCCTCCTCCTCCTCCTCCTCCTCCTCCTCCTCCTCCTCTCCTCCTCCTCCTCCTCCTCCGTCCTCCTCATCCTCCCCTCCTCTCCTCCTCCTCCTCCACCTCCTCTCCTCCTCCTCCTCCTCCCTCCTCCCTCTTCCTCCTCCTCCTTCCACTCCCCCTCCTCCTCCTCCTCCTCCTCCTCCTCCTCCTCATCCTCCTCCTCCTCCTCCTCCTCCTCCTCCTCCTCCTCTCCTCCTCCTCCTCCTCCTCCTCCTCCTCCTCCTCCTCCTCCTCCCCTCCTCCTCCTCCTCCTCCTCCTCCTCCTCCCTCCTCCTCCTCGTCCTCTTCTCATTTTCCTCCCCCTCCTCCTCCTCCTCCTCCTCCTCCTCCTCCTCCTCCTCCTCCTCCTCCTCCTCCTCCTCCTCGTCCTCGTCCTCGTCCTCCTCCTCGTCCTCCTCCTCCTCCTCCCTCCTCCTCCTCCTCCCTCTCCTCCTCCTCCTCCTCCTCCTCCTCCTCCTCCTCCTCTTGACCGTAGCCATTTTGGCTCAAGGTTTTGGTTTCCCCTGGGAACAAAGTGGATACCGCTAGTCCGCGGCCAGCTTTCATCTGTCGCCTGGTCCGCCCCAGGCTGAACGGTGCGTGGTCCGCCCCACGCATCGCAGCGTTCACCACGACTAGGCTGTGCGCTGGTCGGTGGTCAGTCCATAGAGCCACACTTGCGGCATGGCGTGGGGCAGGGCAAAAGGCGGAGGCAAAGGCTTGTCTTACAGCGATGTTTGGCCTCCTCTTGTGCCTGGCCCTCTGTTCTGCAAGGGCGGCGGCGGTGTGCAGGTTCAGGCCGCCAACCAGCTGCCAGGCAAGAAGTGGAAGTGCCAGGCTTGCGGTTGCTCCAAGAACGCCGCTCGGTTCTATTATTGCAAACACTGTGGAGCCTATAAGCAATATCCAACTTCGGCATGGTCAGGAGATGCAGCGCGTCAGTTGTTCGGCTACGGGCAGCTCAACGGTGGCGCTACGTGGGGCAAGGGTCCAGGCGGTGGCGACGCTGGGCAGCAACAGAAAGGAGCTGGAGGCGGCAACCCCAAGGGAGGATGCCATCTACCCGTTCCTGCTGGTGTCGCTGCAGCAAAGTTCACCGCCGCGGAGTACGAGACCATGGCAGGCTTCGCTGAACGTATGGGAGACTCTGCAGGCGCAGCAGCCCATCGTCGTGCAGCCAAGGCCCTCACCGCGCCGAAGCAGGAAGAAGAAGCTATTCAGGTTCGGCTCAATCGGGCCCACTGGAAGGTGCACGGTATCAACAAACGGTTGGAGGCTGCAGTTGAGAAGTACGAACAGTACGAAGCTCAACTCAACGTGCAGAAGACTGTGGTGCTGGAGCTGCACACGGAGCTCACCAATGCAGAAGGCGAGCACGCGACTCTCTTGCAGGACTTGGTCGAGTCTCAAGAGACGCCTAAGCAGCCACCCTCTTCCACGGTCAAGCTTGCTCTGGAGGACATCATGGATCAGGAGCGTCTCGCGAAAGTCTTCGACATCAGCGTTTCGGACCTGTTCAGGTGTGACGGTGTGGAGCTTGACGAGTCTGACAACATCGAGATTAGATTGAGTCACGCGTGCAACAGCTCAAGGCAGGGCTCACGGCGATGGCGGGCACCCTCTTCGCCGAGGCCAAGCAGAAGGTCGATGGCCTCAAGTCCGCCCACGCGCTGCACATCAAGAGGCTCGCGGCCAAGCGGCCTCGAGTGGAGCAGGAAGCACCCTTCGGGGAACCTCCTGATGCTGGCGCACCCCCCGCCGAAGGAGATGTTGGCGCAGCCCCGCCGCCTGCTGCCGAGGTGGCGCCAGGCACGGCGCCTGCTCCTGGCACCCCGCAGGCAGCCACGGTCGGCCAGTTCGCGGGCAAGGGCGTTCCACTTCTTCCTGGAGCTGTACCAGGCGGAGGAGGTGCCGCCTCTTCAGGCGCAGCGGGTGCTGCGGCAGCTGCTCCGACCACGCCTTCTACGACAGGCACTGCTCGTGAGCGCGCTGACCGCATTGCCGCGGCCACTCACACAGTCAACGATTAGCTACCCCCTGGAGGCCAGCCCTGATGCTCGTCGCCTCCTCGAGTCGTCGGTCGATTGGGGTCCGCAGGTCCTTCGCTCGGAAGGCTGCCTCCAGGGGGGGGGTTGAAACACGTTATATACTTCTGCACACGGAGTTCCGCTCCGTAGCGCAAGCTGCCCTCATCCGCAAGAGGGGAGCGCTTCTTCGCAAGGCTGATCGGTCCCCTGGCCCTGCCCCTGTGTCTTTGCTGGACTTTGCGATGCCAAGGGTACTGTATCCTGTGCTCTCCCTTGGTAAGCCAGCGCGCACGGATGCCACGGACGGGGCTATCCCGCACGTGGCCACTTCTGTTTGCCCCCCCGTGGAGGGGGGATCTCGTCCCCACGTCGAGCTCGTCGCGCTCGGAAATTTAACGCCAGGATGTTCCAAGGGCAAATTCGAACCCTTGGATTCTCAGAGGGCTCAGCACCCCTCTGACTGTTTCAAGTCGCCAGCTCACTCTGTCAGCAATGTCAGCCTGCCTGTGCCTGCTCCTCTTGTCGGCAGCGAGCAGCCATCGGCCTCTAACTCTGACAGTTTGGTGCCACTCACGATTCAGACCATTAACGCCAACTCGTGGGGTGCGTTGAAGGGTTTGCTCGAAGATTGATCAGCCCACATTGTGCTCGGCCAGGAGCACCGTCTGATTTCCAAAGAGGACATCGAGCAGGCCAGTGCTTGGTGCATAAGGCATGGGTGGAAGTCGGTCTGGGCCCCTGCTATCCCCACCCAAGCGCAGGACACGAGTGGGGGTGTTGCCATTTTCGTGCGCTCCTGGTTGGGGCTTCTGGAGGTCGAGGATGCCATCACGACGCCTGGGCGATGCATCGCGTGTTCTGCGCACCTCCCTGGGGCTCCCCCCATCCTGGTTGCTTCTGCCTGCCTTCACCACTCAGAAGGCCTCAGCGATGATAATCTGCCTCTGCTCGCGAGGCTCGGCGAGCAACTTTCTGCTGTAGGCCAGCCGTGGGTGCTCGGTGCCGACTTTAATCTGGGGCCTGCCGAGCTCGAGTCGTCCAGTTTTGTGTCGGAGTTGAGGGCGTCCCTCATCTTCCCCGTTGTCGCTACGCACTATCCTGTGGGCCCTCCCACGACGTTCGACTACTTCGTTTGTTCGGGCGGTCTTGCGAAGGGTCTCAAGTCGGTCGATACGCGATTGGATACGGAGCTCTCCCCCCATAGGCCCGTCCAGTTGATGTTCCACCCCAAGCTGGCGGTGCCTCACGCACTCTCGTTCAGGAAGCCCCCCCCCCCCCTGCCGTGTCAGGCTGTCTTCGGCCCTGCCCCCAGAGAAAGTTGTTGGGCTGGGGAACTTGCGCTGGCGTCCGAGGCTGAACGTTGTCTCCAGAATGGGGACGGGCAGGGGGCCAAACGTCTTCTGGGCCCTCTCTACAGGAAGTGGGCCGACCACGCTGAACGTGACCTTATTCCCCTGGTGGGCGTTGCCCCCCCCCCAAGTTAGGCTCCAGGGGTTTGGGTCCTCAACTTGTGCGGAAACCTATCTTGGGCCAGGATGGCACGGTGCGTTATCCAGGTCATCGCGCGATCCGTTGGCTTGGGCAACAGCTTCGCGCCTTCATGCACGCTCGGCGCGGAGGCGCTGCCGCCACTGCTGCCAGGCTCAGTTGCGTGTTGGTGGAGCCCCCGCCCAGCATCTCGGCCGCCGCGGAAGACTACGAGCCGCTGTTCAAGCGAACGGCTCAGGAGGTCTCCGCCCTTGGCTCTGGTGGGGATGTTGAGTCGCTCGCTGATCTGCACACTCAGGTTCACAAGGCCGTCAAGGCCGCCAGCGCCAAGTACGCCGCCAAGAGCCGATCAGACTGGGCTGCTTGGCTGCATGTTGGCATCAATAAGGGAGCGAAAAAGGCTCATCAGTTCATTAAGGATCCTGTTCCGTGGGTCCCCTCTTCGACTCTCTCTGCTGCTGGGTGCGTCGTCAGTGATCCCCTCTCTCTGCTCGAGGCTGAGGGAGAGAGGTTCAGCAGTATATGGGGCGAGGGTCGTGGTGCCGAGTTTGACGGTCAGGTCATAGAGCCTCTTCCCCGACCCACGGCCAGCGAAATCCGTGATATCTCTAAGTCCTACAACGATTCTTCGGCCGTGGCTGTGGACGGATTTCACTGCAAGCATTTCTCTCTGTTGCCAGATGCTGCTCTTGACTGCCTCAGTGCCATTTTTTCGGTCATGGAAGCGCTAGGCTGCCTTCCTCCGCAGATCTCTGTCGTCACTTTGGCTCCTCTGCCGAAGCCTACTGGTGGCTACAGGCCGTTTGGGGTGTTCTGCTCCTGGTTCAGGGTTTGGGGCCGCTGTCGGCGGCCCTTTGCCTTGAACTGGGAGCAAGAACACCCCAAACGGTACTGGGCTGCTGGCAGGTTTCGTGGAGCTGCCGATGTGGTTTGGCGTCAAGCTGTCACCGCCGAGACGGGTCTTGCCATCGGGGAGTCCTCATGTTCTGTTCTCTTCGATCTTCGCAAGTTCTATGGGAACATCAGTCTGAAAGAGCTCGAGGTCCGTTGCAAGAAACATGGATTCCCTCTTGCGATAGCCCGTCTTTGCATTTATGCCTACAGGTGTGGGCGCTTTCTCTGCCTAGGAGGGTGGCTGGAAGGCCCCTACTTCTGCCTGAATGGGGTTATCGCTGGGTGCTCGATGGCCACCGCGTTCATTCGTGTCCTCTGCCAAGACGGATACGATTCCCTTCCCTCCATCCCCAGGCTCGACCTCGACGTGTATATTGACGACCAGGGTCTTTCGTGTACGGGCCAACATCGGACCGTGGTCAAATCGATCGTTGAAGGGGCGAAGGCGCTCCACGCCATCGTTGAGTCTTGTTTCGGTTGCTCCCTCGCCCTGGACAAGACCGCTGTTGTTGCTTCCTCGCAGGCCTTAGGGGATGAGGTTTCTTTTGAGATTTCGAATTTAGGAGGTAATTTTACGTCGAGTGCTGTCAACTTAGGCGTTGACTACACGGCTGGCCGCGCGCTTAGGGTGGCGGGGCGCTCGGTGAAGTCAAAAATGCGCATCGCCAAGGCTGCGAGGGCGGCCAAGAGATTAAAGCGTCAGAATAAAGTCATCTCTCGGCCGCAGGTTCTCAAGGTGATTTCCTCGGGGCCCCTCTCGGGGGCTTCGTATGGCACTGAAATTACTGGCACTAGCGACCTTGAGTTGCTTCGCCTCCGTCGTCAAGTTTTCTCGGCGGTCCGACCTCGATCTCGGTTGAGATCTCTGACGACGGCGGCTCTGCTTGAAGTTTGGGGCGACGTTTTCATCGATGGCTCTAGCAGCCGTCGCACTGTTCGGGAGCTCTCTCGGGCTGGCAGCAGCGTGGTGATGGTCGACGCCCAAGGGTCGGCCGCCGCCGAGTTTCGGGCCCCCGTGTGGGCCCCATATCCTCAGACACCTCAATCGGCCGAGTTCAGCTGCTGGACTTGGGCCAATGTGCTCGCGTCGGCCTGCATCGAAGTGTTCTCTGATTGCAGCAATGTGGTCAAATTGGCCTGTCGGCCCAAGGCCGAGCAGCTGTGTGGGAAGAGGGCCTACTCAGGGGCTTTCCTCCAACTCTATGCCCAAGGTATCACGCCTTCCACGTGCACTAAAGTCGCAGCTCACAAGGAGCTGGATGAGGCGGGTATCGACGCTGCCGAGCGCTGGAGGCGCCTCGGCAACCATCACGCTGACACGGCAGCCAAGCATGCCGTGCATCTGCATCCTTCGTGTCCTGTCAAGCTAGCGGCTGCCGATAAGCTTGTCACGCAGGCGCGCCAGACAATTAGGCTGGCGGCCCATGTTATGCATGTGTGGCCTACCTTGGACCTCTCCGAGGCAGGCCGAATTCCAGCCCCACCAGCCGCTGCTGCAGCGTCCGCTGGTCATCGCTGGGAAATGTGGTCCGGAGTGTGGCGCTGTGCAGTTTGCCTCAGAGGCAAGCGATCTCAGAGTAGGCCCCCGCCAGGTGTCTGCTCTCAGGTTTCTCGGCTTCACGCGTCCAGTCAGGACGCCCTCGAGCACCGTACGATTGCGTTCGATTGCTCCGATGGCTCGGTTTTATTCATCTGCACTAGGTGCAAGGCGCATTCCAGTGGAGCCTCTGTCCGCGGGCTAGCCGCCAAGTGCCAGCCGCCTCCGTCGCGCGCAGCGAAGTACGGCTGGGAAGCCCTGTGCAAAGGCAAACACCCGTATTATAGACAGCAGAAAGCGGGTGTAACGGTTGATGTCGGCAATTTAATGCAGTGCTTCAACACGTATGCCTAATTTTTTACAAGGCCTGCTGCACCGCCTCGTTGCAGCTGGCGTCAGTTCCTTTTCAGGGCTCAGAGGAGAGCGTGGAGCTCAAAATCCTCCTCCTCCTCCTCCTCCTCCTCCTCCTCCTCCTCCTCCCCCTCCTCCTCCTCCTCCTTCCTCCTCCTCCTCCTCCTCCTCCTCCTCCTCCTCCTCCTCCTCCTCCTCCTCCTCCTCCTCCTCCTCCTCCTCCTCCTCCTCCTCCTCCTCCCCCTCCTCCTCCTCCTCCTGCTCTCCTCCTCCTCCTCCTCCTCCTCGTCCTCCTCGTCCTCCTCCTCTTCCTCGTCCTCCTCCTCCTCCTCCTCCTCGTCCTCCTCCTCGTCCTCCTCCTCCTCCTCCCCCTCCTCCTCCTCCTCCTCCTCCTCGTTCCTCCCCCCTCCCTCCTTCCTCCTCCCTCCCTCCTCCCTCCCTCCCTCCCTCCCTCCCCCCTCCCCTCTCCCCTCCTCCTCCTCCTCCTCCTCCTCCTCCCCCTCCTCCTCCTCCTCCTCCTCCTCCTCCTCCTCCTCCTCCTCCAGCCATTTTGCCTCAAGATGCCTTGTTCCCCAGGGGGCCAAACGGATACCGCTAGTCCGCGGCTGCTTTCATATTCTCCGCCTGGTTCTCCCCAGGTGCGGAGCTCTGCTTCAGCAGGGCCGTCAGCTCATGGGCCGCCATGCGGGCAGCAAGGGTGCGAGTGGAACCTGCGGCAAGGGCAAGGACAAGTCGGGCACATACGTCAACTGCTCGGCGTGCCGGTATCGCTGGAACTTCAGGTCCAACCACTGGTGCCACCAGTGCTGCTCGCCGATGGTGCCGCACCCGTCGCCTGACAAGAAGCCCACGGGCCAGTGGTCGTTCGGTCCGCCCATGCTCGCGTCGAGCCCGTTCGGCACCGCCGCTGGTGCGGCGCCGCCTGCGGGTGGCCAGCCCAAGGGCCCTCCTGTGCCGCCGAGGGCCGCCAAGGGCGCGCCGAAGGAGCGCCGCCCATGGGTCTGGCACGGGCCGGGCTGGCACCCGTACGGCGGCGGGCCGCCGCCAGAGGGGCCGCGTGAAGCACCGCGGTCTGCTGACCCCCTCGCGTTGCTCCGCGAGAAGTTGGGCGATTGCGACGAGCTCACGGCCCTGTCCGCCAAGTTGGCCGCCAGGGAGCAGCCCGCCGCTGAGGTCCCTCGCCGCCCGCCCCTCTTGGAGGAGGAGGTCTCCGCGAAGGGGATCGCGTGCAGGCGCGCACAGGCGTGGCTCGAGACCTGCGCGGGCCGTGTCATTGAGGGCGAGGCCTGGCTGGCCGACGCCAAGGCTGCCGAGGACGCGGCGGCGGAGGCGGCACACCAGGCCCAGCAGGAATGGGAGGAGGCTTGCGCCAAGCAGCTGCCGTCTCCGCCGACGCCGCGGTCTGAGACGGCATCCGCTTCTACGGCCATCAACCTCTCGACGCTCGTCGACGAATGCTCGCTGCGCTTCGTCGATGGCCCCCTCTTCGACCTGGAGGGCCTCGAGGTCGACGAGACGGAGCGCGCCGAGTGGGCCCGCATCAAGGGCGAGCTCGCCACCAGCGTGCAGGCCAAGGTTCAGGAGGCCCTGGGTCCCGCTGCTCAGCAGGTCCTCAAGTTGCGTGAGGAGGCCCAGGCTCTCCACGCCAGGCTGCAGGCCAAGAGGCGCCGCGGCTCGGATGGTGCCCCAGCCTCGGGCCCCGCGGAGCCTTCGGCTCCTGCTTCTGGGGCCTCTTCTGCTGGCGGCAGCGCCGCTGCTTCGACGCGTGGCGGTGGTGAGCGCAGCAGTGCCGATGCCCTTCGAGCCGCGGCCAGGGCTAAGGCCAGCGCTGCCATTGACGAGAAGAAGCGTGACGCGCAATGAGTTTAGCGCCTGCGATTGCACCGCCGCTGTCACGTACGGTGGCTCGCCGTTTCCGCTCTACGGGGACATCTTCCTCTCGAAGGACGACGAGCTCGCCTTCTTCCCCGACCTGGAGGTCTTCGGCCACTACAAGTTCGGCTCCTCTCAGAGCGACGACGACTCTGAGTTCGAGGGCAGGGCGGTCCATTGCAAGGACCAGGACCCTGCCAGGCGGGCGGCCATTCATAATCGACAGCTTCTTGAGAGGCGGCTGAGGTCTTTCACTGGCGCCTGGGTGCCCGACCCCAGCGTGGTTGATGAAGTTTCTGGCTTGGCCGACTGGAAGCGGGTTTGCATCCCATGCGTTGCCAGTTTCCTGGCAGATCCCGCACTGCAGCCTCTTGTCCAAGAGGCCGCTGGTTCCGCAGGTCATGGCAACCTGGCGGTCGCTCAGCTGGACATGGCCAGGCAGATCTGCGAGCGAGCGTGCCATGCTCGCCGTCGCCAGCGGCAGGCTTATCGTGACCACCTCAATAGCCTCCGCGACATCGACCACGATGACTGGCAGGAAGAATTGGCTCGCAACGCCTGAGGTACATCGACGCGCGTCGCGCGCTCGATACCAGGGCCCCGCAGAGACGGGAGGCCATGGCCGTAGTCCCTACGGTGGTTTTACCATTTTGTGTAAGGCCCTACCCCTCCGCATCTGCTCAGGCGGACGCATCAGATTTTTCGTTTTCCCGCGCAGGCGTGGCGCGAGCCCCTGTGCAGATGTCCGCTCGGCCCCGACAGGCGGCCGCGGCCTCCTCGACCTCGGCACCTTGGGCCCCGAGGGTTTCCACGAGTGGACCATGCGCGGCGACGTCGGCTTCAGTTTCTGGCAGCACTCCCAGCTCGGCGCCCGCTTCGGCCTCGGCATCGTTGGCTCCGAGGAATTCCACGATTGCCTCGAGTACGACGACGGCATCACCTCCGAGTTGCATTCCGATTTCGGCTCCTGCATCGGCCTCGGTTTCCTTCGCTCCGAATTCGGCTACTGGGGGTCCGCGTGCGGAGGCATCGGAGGAGGGCTCTGCCAATCCCCACTCAGCCCGTTGGTTGTTCGCCAATATCAGCGAGTGGGGCCCCAAGGGTGTCTTTCATGCGCGGAGCAGGCACCTTGTTTGAGACTGTCGCCCTCGCTGAGACACATGTCAAGCTCAGTGGCATGGAGGCTGCCCGTGCGGAGCTGTTCAAGGACGGATGGAAGATGGTTGGTACCCCTGCTGTGGCATCAGCGCCCTCACCTTCTGGCTCCAGGGGTGGCGAGTGGGTTGCGCACAAGAGGCACATTGCAGCCACCTCCTGGGAGCGTTTGCGCTCAGCCAGACCGAGAGCTATTGAAGGGCTTTGCCCCGGCACCCTGCACCTCAAGCGAGGCAATGTTGTGTTGTTGTCGGTCTACCTCTTTCCAGGGCCCAAAACAGGTGGCATCAATACTCCCCGCGTTCGTTCCATCAGCAGGTTTGTCTGCTCCCTGGCTGACCCTTGGACCATTTGTGCAGACTGGAATTTGGAACCAGACGAGCTGACCAAGAGCGGCCTTCCCGAGGTTTGGGACGGGGAGATCGTCACCCCCAGCGGATGCAGTGCGACTTGTACCCTTGGTAGGGGCTCAATGATCGACTACTTGGTTGTCAAGAGGGGTTTTGCCGACCAACTCAGAGCCAAGCTTTTCACGTTAGTTCCATGGAAGACACATGTCGCCTTGGATATTGAAATCCTTTTGGGCCACGGGGATTGGTGGCATCAGGTTTTAGACTCTCCGAGTGAGCTTCCACAGAGGCCCAGGCCCAAGAAGGCCTCAGACCCTGGCAGCAAGCGCTCACGGCGCCGTGAGGAAGCTCGAGTCCGCAGGAGAGAACGACGCAGTGCCGACTTGCAGGGAGCATTCGGCGAGGTCAATCCTCCTGATGATGTGCTCCCTGATGATGAAGCCGAGCAGGTGCCCTTTCGGTTGGAGACGGCGATTTGGGCCACTGCGGCCTCTGAGGTTCGACCTTGGGTACGAACCAGCTCGGACTCGAGGCCCTGGGCTTTCCCCACAGGCGCTGAAGATGACGTCCAGATCGCTTCCCAGTCTTATCACCGCTGGGTATCTACTTTGGAACTTGCTATACTGCGTGCTGAAGGTGTTCAGGCCGACCAGCAGGCCCAGTGCATTGGACGTGGCAACCTGTATGGCATTACCTGGCGCAAGCTACAGCCGCCCCCAGGGTGCACTCATATGCGTAATCCAACGATGGAGTTTTGGTGGGCGATGTCGTCGTTGGTCACACGGTACACCGCCCTGCGCCGACACGACAGGGACTCCTCCCAGCAAGATGCCCTGACCACATCCATCTCCAGCCTGACTGACCAGGCCGAGGCCCAGCCGAGGGCCGTTCTAGTCGGTCCAAGGGCCACTCACCAGGATCTTCAGGAGTGGTTTGACGTGGCCTGCCTCATCTTCGGGCCGCCTCTGGACGTGGACACCCTGGAGTGGTTCGTCGAGGTCACGGAGACTTGGCGCTCGCGATCCTGGGGCAGGGCCTTAGTGTCCTCGGGCGCCGCCTACGTCAAGTGGGCCAGGGACTGCTGGCGCACCAGGCCATCTGTGGCCCACCGGCACGTGCGCGACCCTCCGCAGCCCGCTGCGCTGGAAGTCCCTGGGGATGGTCCCGAGGAGGCCACTGGCGACCCTGCTAGGCTCATGGAGCACAAGCTGCAGGCGTGGCGGACTATTTGGACTGATCCGCATGCGTCTCGCGAGGGCCTGTGCAAGGGCATGCAGTTGCTGCTCCAGCATGCTCGTGGCCACCCCATCAGCGAGCTCGAGGACGATTGCATCATGAGAGTTGTCTCCAGGATGGCCCCCAACAAGGCTCGAGGTGTGGACGTCCTCAGCCCCGCCGGCATTCAGAGGCTGCCGACCGAGGGGCAGCAGCAGTTCGGCGACTTGCTGCGTGAGGCTGAGAAGGTAGGCTCGTGGCCTGTCCAGCTTTTGTTGACCGCGGGGGCGACCGTCCCGAAACCTTCAGGAGGTGATCGGGTCATCGGTTTTTTGCCGGCCTGCATGGGTGTCTGGTCGAGAGCTCGGGCCCCGATCACGGACCAGTGGTCCCAGGACCTCGGTGAGTTTTGGCACGCGGCGATCCGAGGTCCTCGGCACTTAGAGCGGCCCTGCAGAGGGCCATTTTAGATGAGTCCTCCTTCCATCGCGGATTCACCTCGGCCTCCCTCCTCCTCGACCTGGACAAATTTTATGACCACCTCAGCATGCTGTTACTGATGCGCGTTTCTGTTGAGCAGAGATCCCCCTCGATTGTCACCCTGTTAGAAGTACAGATGCTCCTTGCTCCCAAGATCTTTCGGCCCAGGAACATCGCCTCGGATTTAACCGTTCCCGCCCGCTCTATTGCAGCAGGCTCGGCGCACGGGATCAAACTCGCCAAGGTTGTCCTGGGTCCGATTTTGTCGGCTGCTCATGCGGCCTCGGGGGCCCGCGCCCTGGTCTCCTCTCCGCGGGCCTCTGTACCTTTGTTGATGACACCGTGGCGCGGGCCGAGGGTACTGAGGAGAATGTTATCGCTCAGCTTTCCACGGTGGGCCAGTCCTTCGCCCGATCGTTTGTCTTGCATCAGTTGCCCGTGTCGCGGAAGACCAAGGTCATTGCATCCTCTCCTAAGGTTGGAAAGCGTATTGTGGCCAACCTGAGGGAGGTAGGCATCCCAGCCTCCCTGGCGGTCCAAGCTGTTGACCTGGGGTGCGACACGGGAGGCGGGGCTCGCTGGGTGGTCGTTAAGCTCACGGGCCGTCAGAGGAAGGCCCGACCACGTGCACAGCGCATTCGCCGCTTGCGGCGCCACGCCAGGGCGGCCAAAGTGTCCCAGGGGCTCTGGCTTCAGGGGGCGCTCCCACAGGCCGTTTATGGCCATCAGGCCATGGGCCTCCCCCCTTCATCAATCCTGGCCTTGAGGCGCCAGGCGCCCCAATCGGTTGCCAGTAAAAGTCCAGGCCGTTGTCTTACCACGGTGCTATCGTTATTTGATGCCGAACGCGAGCCCTTCAATGCTTTGAGGGCTCAGGTTTGATACACGTGGTTTGACATGTGGAATCGTTTCCCTGAGATGCACGCCCGTATCACCCGCTCGTGGCATCACATCCGGGGCCGTCTCGGCATTCTGGCCTCGAAACGCTGGCGTCGGGTGAGAGGCCCGATTGGGGCTGTCGTCGCCACGTTACTTGATGTTGGTTGGAAGCCTGTGCCCCCCGTTAAGTGGCACAGGCCTGTGGGTGACCAATATGAGGTTTGGCAGTTTCCAGATCGGGACGACATTGAACGTCCCGAGGGCGACTTTGATGTCGCTGAATTGGTTGACGATTTCAAAGAAGATTTGAATGCTGCTTTGTGGGCCCAGGCATCGCTCAGCCTACTCACGACTGTAGTGTGAGGGGGCCAGTGGACCCACGTCCGTCAACATGAGGCGGGGTATGCGGTCGCCACCACCTGCCCCCGCTGTGGTCTGGCCCCCGAAACGCGTTTTCACAGAGTGTGGGAATGTCCCAAGAATTGCAATCATGAGGCCTTTGAGCTCTCGGACGGCCTCTGTCACCAGGCCAGAGTGGGCCACGAGGCTAACCCTGCCTTGTGGCTCCGAGGCCTGCCCCCTAGGACTTTAACTTGCCCTGTGTTCAAGGACGGGGGGGCGGATGTGTCGTGGGAGGTGGGGTCGTCGCCGTCGTTAGTCGAAGGATCCTCTGTCGCCGCGGCCAGGTCCCCTTCGGGGCTCCTGCGGGTCTTTGGAGATGGCTCTGGAGGTGCCTTCAGCTCCGACCCTCGCCGCCGACGCGTCGGCGCTGCTGCTGTGGTGGTGGCCTGGGATGGCGCCAAGTGGTACCGACTAAAGGGTTGGGCCTCCACCATCTCTGGCCGCCGTCAGACGGTCCCCAGAGCTGAGCTGTTGGCCTTTGAGCTGGCGCTCCGCAGTGTCCCAGGGGAGTTTGAGTATGTCACTGACAACCAGCCCCTTTCAGAAGGGTGGCGGCGGCGCCGCTTCCGTCACAGCAGTGGTATGAATTCGGACATGTGGTTTCGTATCCGCCTAGCCCTCGAGGCCGCGAGAACGGGATTTCTGCTTTGTGGACCCCCTTTCCCACCTGGATCCCACGGACCCCTCCTTTTCTGAGGACCACGTCCTTCTCGCGGCGGGTAATGAGTTTGCTGACGAGTTGGCGGGCCAGGCTGCTCAGGAGTCTTGGGGCCTTGCTACTCGTGGTCAGCGTATCCCCGACACTGACAGATGGGACGCCATCTGTTTTCTCATCCGCCAACGGGCTGCCCAAGCGTTGGCGGAGTCCATCCGTGTGGCCCCGTGGACCGCGGACAGGCCCAAGCTGGGCCGTTCCACTGTCACGAAACTTCAGTCTGCCCTTAGAGGAAGTTCGCACTGTTTAATTAAAACTGGCGCGAAGTGGATTTGCTCACTTTGCTCGACTATCGTTCCCTCGGCGAGCGTCTTCGGGGCTTGCGCCCAACCCTGCCCTGCCGTGGACGACGGCGAGACTAAGCAA